GGAGAATATTCACCGCAAGAACTATCGTGAATCTACAGCCAAGCAGAATTGTCATATCTTGTGCTCTATCCCAGTGTGTGATTGGAAATATCAGCTTTTAGATGTCTTTAAATTTCGTACGTTGGTTTGAGACGCCACTTCTCTTTTCTGAACAAACAATAAGGCAGCCATATCACAGGATGAAGCAGTGGCGGCTTGTGATAAAATGCATAAGGGGGACTGCAATTTTTAAACATTTGCTACACAAAAAATATTAATTTACCTTAAGGTCCAGTTTGAGTTGAAGTTGATGGCGTGAGTACTTGAAAATAAACTCCATGCGGCGGCTCTTTCATGTAGCAAAGTGATTAGTTACTTTTTCATTAAAGCCCCTTATTTCTGTGATCATTTTATTTTCAGTGGATATCATTGTTAAAGCATATTATCTGTCATTCACCATAGTATATTCCACAAGAAAGTTTTGATTCATTTCAAGGTTGAAAAGCACCTTTCTGCCTCAGCCGTTGTCAATGGTGTTGTTATCATTATCTTGATAAACTTTACAGTTTCTGAGAATGTTGACTTTAGATAGCTTTCATTAATAATTTCTAACAAATCTGAGACCTGAAAGGTAGGTCTACTGGAAAGTCGAAGCGCTGCTATGATACCACTCCTTCGAACGTATCAGACATGTCACTGGAGTGACTGGACTGCAGATATTGCAGCTCAAATTTCAGTGTAGCACAGGCTTGACACAGGCGCGAAATGTGTAAAAAGAACGTACAGTTACTAACTTGCTATGAATGTCAACTAAGTTTAGGTGTATTATTCTTATACAAATAGTGTCATTATATAATGTAGGCAACATTCTAACTGCAGCCTTGCAGCCCTTATGGACGAGCCATCATCCGATGACACACTATATTTTGATAATGCTACACTGCTACGGCCGTGGGTAAAACGCTTGCTTCTTTTGATTTACTGGCCGTCAACGCTTGGGTCACTTTATATGGCCGAATCGCTTGCCTCCAGTGAGCATCCTGCCCCAGGAATCACGAATGTATCAGTCTACTGCTACGGATTCACGAGTCTGAATCGCGGGGTTAGTGCTTCAGGGGGTGAGGTTATATCACAGGTATTCACCAACTCAGTTTGACAACACTACTAATAATAATGACATACCAGACGGTAAACACCGATGAGACTAGTGTGATTGTCACTGAAGCTTCGACCTCTTGTGGTGGTCAGTTGACGCTAGCCAAGATGATTATTGTGTTGTGTTTTTAGTTAGTGTTCACTCGCGTAATTTTATTTTACTCAGGCACATTGAATAACTTACTGTATATGAAGAACGAATACAATCAAAACCGGATTTTTTTTTACAAATGAATGAAATTCTCCTTGTTCTATCCACACTGTTTTTCAAGGCATTACAGTCCAAAAGGACAACTAATAATATTAGTATACTTCCTTATAATCTTAAAAGAAAAAGTACATTATGCAAGAAAAACTACCCTACGTCTTTATATTTTGCTTGTTGGTTGGGCTGTGGTAGTGTTTACCGAGTAACGCTAGAGGCGCTGGTGTCCATCACCGGTCATTGTAGTATTTACTGCATTCCTCTTTGCTGTTTGTGTTGTATATTTATCATGTCCATCTGAATTTATAATATATCTTATAATTGCATACCTCCTCCTCCCCTATTCTGTCTCCGGGTGGCACGCGCAGCGGGTGTCCCTTGCTTATGAGTTCGGAAAGATAGTACAGTACTGTATTCAGTGGTTGATCCGTTTGTTCTCACTTGTCCGGGCGATATCTCAGGCGTTTTTAATCTAGGAATTTGTACACAATAGTGACCAAGTGCTTTGTTTTGTTTTGTCTATTATATTTTGTTCATGGCATTGCATGAGGGCGGTGTACATTGAATTTATAGCCTATTGTATTTAATTGTTATTATTTTTCTTACACAAATTTTTTTTTTTTAATATTAGATAATGTCTGACGAGAAAGATCTACTGTTGTCGATCAGCTGCTGGTTAAACACTGTATAGTAACCGATTACCACATGTGTCCTAATACATCTCTTTCCATGACAAAGGTTCTTAACGAAAATAGAAATTAAGAATATAAAAGTCCGTAGCTTTAAAAATTGGCCGATCATTCATTAAGTCGATCGGTATTCGCACTGAACGCGAGCATTCTGATTGGTAGTCAGTTTTTTTAGTTAGTTTTAGCCGACGTATTTTTAGAGTGAATTTATTAATTTTGATAATTGGTGGATTGCATGTTGTGAATGTTCAAACCAAGTCAACGTAGATTCCTGTAATTCTATTCGATAGATAAAAATTTTCATTTTTTGTCAATCAGCTGATACATCAATAAAAGTAATAAATCTATACTTACTCCTCAACGCTCTTTAATTATCGATACATATTGACAAAATGTCTTTAGTTATTTGCAATTTGAAGTTGATTGAAACTATACACTAAAATTGCCTCTGGGTTGCGTAATTAGGCCAGAAAATAACAATGACAGGAACTTTATGTATGTTGTGATTAAAAAACCTTAATAGAATGTATTGCCTAAAATAGCCTATACAACAGTCATTATTTTATAGATTCGTCGGCAGATATTCTTTCCCCATTTGTCGGTGTTCAGTTTTATTTCTGACTCCGTATCCCATCTCGGCTATTTAATTACCGGGCATTCATTGATTGGCAAGTATGTGTATTTTAAATATTATTAATTAGAGTCTATTATTATGATTATCATTAATATAAAGATGTTATTGTAAAACTAATTATTGAGTAGTAGGATTGTACAATATATAGTGTTATTATAATTAATGCTATTATTTTAACATTTCCATTGATTCTTCCACAATTACCTCCCATTCTCCGTTCTACTGCTATCTTGGTCTGTTTGTGTATTATTTCCCTGCCTCTAAAAATCATTTAAAGTTTTCCCACATATCGTTTGCTCTTTTGTGTATTTTTTTAAAAGTTAAGAAGCCCCGTCCTCTTACCTCGGCTGATTCTCTCCAGGTTTTCTCCCGATATACCAGATTCCTCCTTCTCTCACCCCGTCCTTACACCTCTAGACTGTATGCCCCTCCTTGCAACCCCTCACACCAGACCAGATCCCACTGTCCCCTCGCCAACAAGCCAGTTCCCCTGCCCGGGGCCTCTCACTCTCCCAGTCCGCTCACCCCTCCCGTCATCCATCCCGTCACCCCGCCCATCCCTCGTCCCCTCACCCCTCACGGCGCATCGTCCCGCCTCCCCTCGTAATCGCATATTCATTCTGTAATGTACTCGTTAGCCATATATGGGCATAGAGAGGAACGCCGCGCCGAGATCAAAGGAGCCGACCTCACGTATGTTTAAATTGCACTACACACACACTGGTGATGGGCCTCCAGCCTGCCCTCCACACCAAGAACAAACACCCATCCCTCACACACTCCCTCTCACAGTGTGGCTGGACTAGTGCAGTGATGGACTAGTGGGTGATGGTAGGACTAGTGGTGGTGGTAGTGGGTGATGGTAGGACTAGTGGTGGTGGTAGTGGGTGATGGTAGGTCTAGTGGTAGTGGGTGATGGTAAGAATAGTGGTGGTGGTGGTGGTTTTGAAGGTAATCGTGGTGGTGGTGTTAATGGTAGTGGGGGTGTTGATGGTAATGGTGGTGGTGATGATGCAGATGGATGTGGTGATAGTATAGTTGTAGTGTTGGTAGTACAAGTGGTTGTAGTGTTGATAATATTAATCCAGATGGTGCACATGGTAATAGCAGTGGTGGAAGTGGTGAGGATTGTAATGGTGCAAGTAATGGTTATGATGAAGATACTGTAAGTAAAGTTGGTAATTGCATTGGTGAGACTAGTGGATATAATCGTAATATATGGTGGTGTCAGTATTGTAAATGTTGGTAATACAAGTGGTAGGGGTGGTTGGTGTTGGTACAGGTAGTGGTGTAGATACAAATGGTGGTAGGGCGGTAGCAATGCAGTGCTGGTAGCGACAGTGATGAGGCACAGGTGGCGTGAGTGATTGCATTAAGGGTTGCAGCTTGGGTAGGATATAGACGTGTCATGTCAGTGTAGCTGTTCTCTGTCTCTATTGAAACAAGAACTGAAGACTGAGAGTGCTCAGGTTTTACATGATGAACACAACTGAAGGTGAGAATGATATTTGAGCTTGGGAAGAATTTTTTTTTTTATCTTATGACAGTATTTTGATGGGCAAGATAGCAAAAAAGTCACAAATCATTAACCCTTAGACTGCAGTTATTGAAAAAATGGTATACGGTTGTAAAGTTTGTGCCCAAAAACAAAAAATCTTCCAAAAATTTAGTATAGTGTACATAAACTTAAGGATATACATACATTAGAATAAAAAAATACAAACATATGTAATTTGCTTAACTTTTTTTAGTAGTGGTGGAGTGATTTAAGCGAGTGTGGGAGAGGCCAATCTACTAGGGTGGGGGTAGGAGGAGCTGGGAGAAGACAGCTATCAATAGTAGCAAATGTTTATTTTCCATGATAATAAAGGTAGATACAGCACTATCGAGGTATAGGTAGCATAAGGTTTACCGAGATGATACACTTTATGAATGCTAAAATTGGCACACATTTAGAGAAAAAAAAAGGGTTACTTGTACATCAGTATTCTCAAATGGTGAAGCAGTTAATGGGTTAGAGGCACAATTTTAAATATCGATTAAATTGTGCTCTGAAGGTCAATGTTAGATACTGTAGCAGCATACTCTCAATTTTATTCTACAAAATTGCATGTCTTCCACACTATGTTATACAGTATTCAGGAAGCAGTATCACCTTTGACCTATGAAGTGACAATTATTTGTTCCCAAAATGATTCTCATTAATTAATCAAATACTGTTTACTTCTTATTCTTTTCCAAAGTCAAGTTACATATTTTTTAATACTTCAAGCATACAGTCCTTCATGATCTAATGTTTCATACACCAATGCACAGGAAAAGGAATCAAAACACAGTGTAATATGTGGCCTTTATTATGTAAATACAATAATACATAACAAAAACCATGGACAATGTATTACAAACCAACTCTATATATGCATTATTCACTGCAAAAGGTTTTCAAATTTGTCTCTACAGTATATAGAACTTTTATTCAAAGAAAATAATGGAAAAGTACAGTAATGCAACTATGTATTCAGAAGTAAATCAAAATCTTACATTACACATGTAGCAAAAACACAAAACTATGTTGCTATGAACACTAACGACAAAATTTCCCATACTGTATCTAAATATTATCAGTGAGTTATATATATATATATATATATATATATATATATATATATATATATATATATATATATATATATATATATATATATATATATATATATATATATATATATATATATATATATATATATATATATATATATATATATATATATATAGCAATAATAGTATAACTAGAATACAATTATAATAAAAAATTTCTTCACTAACAAGCTTAACGGCTATACCTGATATACTGTAATGCACCAATGTATTTTTAGCAATGATCACAGGTCGTTCTTTGTCTAGTTCATGTTATATTTTTATATTTCACAATAAAGTAAATTTCTCGATCAATAATCTTTAAGTAGACATGTTCCACAATTATTACAATCCTTCAATATCAAAATAAAAACAAACTGAAAATATAATTGATGAAAAAAAAGGTGCTGATTTTATCCCTCTTTAGTAAAATGTACATCAAACAATTCCTCACACATAGACCACTGTTCATAAAACTTTGAAAGAATTATAATGCTAATGAATCAAATAAACCAGTAAATCTTCTCTACAGCAGCTAGATATAGAGCTGAAGATCCAAACAACTTCACCAAAAGGAGAGCATTACTATTGGTACAAAATTAGTCTAGTAACCAACCATTAAATTGTTTCTTAGAAAATATCCTGTGATAAGAAACTAATTAACAGGGCTGTCTTACACTTGCAATTGCTTATACTGTATCAGTGTGAGAAATAACTATCAATGCTGAGGAATACAAAATGTTTAAAGTAGGGTGAAACAAATAAAATCCAAGAAACAATCTCCAAATATCATTTGTAAACTATTGCTATGAGAGAGAATGAAGATATAGTTCAATGATATTATCAAGACTCAAAATTGAAACATGTCAATCAAATTTAGTTTGTACAGGATATATGATTTGATACCTGAAAAAAAAAAAATATTCACAAGACAAAGTTTCACTCTATTTATCATGAGTTGTTTGGAGGGTATTACATCAAGCTAAAGGGGTTCAATCACAGACTATTTATCAAATTGCACAGCCAATTGACTATAACCTATCAGCCTCAGGGTTCTCCCAACAGTGCACATTGCAGCTCTTCATCTGTCTGGTGTCTTCTTCATTAGTCAACGTTTACATTAAGATCTGCCAAGGCAATCATCTCCTCACAGTCTCGTATAGTTGGTAAGACATATGAGGGTAAATTATACCTAAACCCCATACAGCACATCTAAATCAGAGGAGTGACTCCCTTCCACACTGATGTCTGACAGTGTTCTGTTGCCTGCAAGAATAAAAATAAATTTAATCATAAAGTCTCTATGTACACAACACTATTCCTTTAAAAATAAGTAAAGAATTTTCGAAGATAAATTTGAATGAAGTCTCATTATTTAATTGACAAAAAGAGGACCTATAAACCTTGCCGCTTGTCTTAACTTAAGCCCGCTTCACACACACTCAAATTTTGCTCATTTGTCTACAGGAACAATATTTGCTGCCAGATTTCCATAGAGCCTGCTTACCATAGAGAAAGAGCTGCTGTCTATTGGCCTTCTGTACCCCACTCAAACATTTTTAAGGTCATTACTTTTTTCAGTTCCCTTCTATGTGCACTTCATGCTATTTATCTTCAACATAACGTTTTCCCCAGTCCACTTTTTCTGAACAAGCTTGTCATATGCAGCTGGTTCTTTTCACTGTTTCTGTAATCCTTACTTTTATTTTCCAGAATGATGGCTCATGGGTAAATTTTTATGACTTCTAAAAACTATTCTTTGGAAAAGTTAGTAAATCACTCATGGTTATAATGCTGTTATAGTGGAAAATGACATATGGTAGGGACAAACTACAGTATGCCCTACAGAAGTTGCCAGTGTTCAATTTATGTTATAATATATTGATCTAGATTTTCTAAATAAAAGCCAAGTGTGTCTTTTTAATTTCTAATTTTCAATACTTGTAGTATGTAGTATTAATGAATATCAGAGATACATGGCAATGGAGGTTAAAAGACAAAGTAGGAAATTAAAGAAAAATGGGAGATTTTTAATTCATTATCTTTAATGTGTTTGATCTCAATTAACTCTGTTTTGATTTATTCAGAATAATTATAAAAATCATTCACTGTCACAAGATGTTAACCCTTAGGCCCCGGGTGACTTTCCAGAACGTCCACCTATTTTCCTGCCATTTTTGTATTTTTTAAGTTTTCTATTTCTCGATTTATCCCCGCAAGGGGGTTACTGCCAGCAGCACCCTAACCTGGGGCTTAAGGGTTAATACTGCTTACAACTTAAGTGATATAAACTAGCCTAGACACATTCCATTTGGTCTGCACAAGTCAAGTTTGTGCAAACATCTATTTTGGTAATGCTCGACTTTGCAGACATACCAAATGGTTTGCACAATCTACAAACCTCCCCTACACACAATTTTGTTTGTGCTGACAAGTATGAGCAAAAGTCTGAGCATGTGTAGCAGGCTTTAATGTCACATGACTATTTTTTCCTGTGCTAACATAGTATCCAATTGGAAGAGGGAACCAATTACCCGACTAGTTTATCTTTGGAAGGCAGAATTCTTGGTAATTATAACTGCATATATCATAAAACGTCTTACATATTTCACACGCTTTAGTAATTTGCCAAACAGAATTTGGAATCGTAAGAATATGACTACAGCCTAGAGCTTAAAAGTGTGAACAGCACTACATTACCTTCATTCCCAGCTCCTTGCTCAGAAAGATAAACTTTCATGCAGAGTGTATAAAAGAAATATTGAACTAATTAAGGTCTCAAAACAGTTGCACATGATTACTCACCTCACAAGCAGTTGCATGTATCTGAGTTTGGCACCAATATGATGGACCCCAAGTACACTTGTCACCTCCTAGAAGCTGTTGAGATGAACTCTTAGGGCAGAAACTTATTCCTTGACAAACTTTTTGAGGATCGCCAAGCTCCGCAAGTAGGTTCACCAGGTACGGGCCGTAAACTTCAATAATGTTACGACACTGAGAAGTTTAAAAACATTATTATAGCATCACCATCCCGAGATGCTTAAGAAATATTGATCTGTCAAAGGGCTACCTTATAGCCTCACTATCCATATTAAGCATAAAGGAACACACTGTACTATACCTGTATTATATTGTACTTAAATACAGTACTAACAAATGCGGCACTAAAAATAAAACCCTGCCAATCAGCAAAATCTGTGAAATGACACTAGTGTAAAATTAATTAAAGAAAACCAAAAGTTACAGTATGACAAATAACAGATGTCATACTACAGGTACTGTAAATTGATTTCTGGGAAGGAGGTTGTGCTGCTGGTGGGTGATGCTGGCTGTGAGAAGCAACAAGAAAATATAGTACTAGGTTTGAGGTCTTGCTGAGAAAGAGGCAAAGCAAAGCAGAATACAATATACTGTATTTTTTTTAAAACGGTAATCTTGCTGAATGATAATTTATGATTAGAAAAACTGTGTATATGCTCAGTTCTGATCACCCTGCAATAAGATGGAAAAGGCTTGGGGATATTTGTTTATCGAAGCAACTGAAAAATTACAATCTTTTTTATTTACCTGTTCTTTGGCACTGTGTGGGAAAAGTCTGCATATTTCTTCCAGAAGGGTATCAATGGTGATGGTAGCCTGCCCATCCCTCAGCTTCTCATCAACATAACTCACTATACCTCGACATATCTGGCACTTGTCCAAGTGCATATTCACCATTGCTCTCACACCTACAGAGAAAAAGAAAAATTAATTACTTAATAGGATTCAAAGTTACAATGGTTAACTTTTAAATTAAATCCCCCAAAATTCATAAACAATAAAAAGAACCTTTTTGATGCACAGGTACTCCCCGACTTACGACGGGATTAGGGACCGACATCCAGGTTGTAAGTCGAAATGGTCGAGTCAGAAATGCCGAAATAACACATAGAAAATCGAAAATTTGGGTCTCTTTTTCTTCTCAGCACCACAAAACACTCGCTTTTAAGCTTGCCAGCCATTTTAAAGTGAATTACAGATGAAAATTTTGTCTGTGTACTGACTTTGGGACTCAAAAATACGTAATTTGACCACATTTTGGTACGACTGAGGCGGTCGTAAATGCAGGTGGACGCAAGTCGAGTCGGTCGTAAGTCGGGGACTACCTGTACACTGCCATTATATTTAAAGTTATATTACACCAGAAGCAAACACCAGTAGGCCTGAAAATTGTATTGCCTTAAATTGTTTTGGGTTTTTTATATGTGAGTATGACTGTCAATCCCCTTGAATTTTTTATTTAATTTGATTTATAAATTCAAAAAACCATACCAAATTCATTGGAAGGAGTAACACACAACTCCCACTCATTTACCTTTACTATATTTTTCTTTTTCTTAGGACTGTTCAGCAAAATCAGGAAGCAGGGTCCCTATTTAAGTACTTTTTAATGGTTACTCAAAAGGCAGGTAAAAAAAATTGGGGCACATCCAATAATGTTTAACTCTAAGCAAAACTTTGTCAATACAGTACTCTCACTATCCAAACTCCCTCATAGCTCTCAACAGGATTTCCGATCTTTAAATGTCACACTGCGCATCCTTCACCTCACCATTCTCATTTCAACTTGCTTAAGCCTGAGTGTGTCATCCTCATTAGCTGCCCATGTTTCACTGTCATACAACATCATACTTCTCACACCAGTTGTATATTTATATATGTATATATATACAGTCCCCCCAAAAAAGTATCATTAGATTTTCCGTCGCTACAATTTGAAACGCTAGACGAAATGCTTAGATATGATCCCCAGTGCATCATCATAAGCCTGTTCACCATATCAGCAACAGCTAGAGATGAGGGTAGGATTGGGAGAAGCAGCTGTCCTTGTATGGCATAATGTATAAGTACAGTACTTCAATATAACAAGAAGTCCATTAAGCTATACAGTATTAATGTAATGTTCGAAAACATATACTGTACAGTATACGCATTCACGCCCAAAGGTCGTGGATGTAGAACTACCAACTGTTGAGAAACAGGTTGAGTATCATTGGTCAGAAAGGCTCGAATTACATCGACCCCGTGGCTAACGATATTTTTTGGGGGGACTGTACATCTTTCCTTTCACATTTGATGATTCTACCCCAATTACAGTAAACCCCCCATAATTCGAAATAGGGGCTCTAGCCCTTACGAAATATGATATTATTGGGGCTTTACTATACAACTTTTTTCAAGGACTTCTGTCTCCTACCATTCACTGCAACTTTTCTATTCTGTTTTCTTTTGGCCCTTAATATCACTGGTTTCTAAGAGATTCCATTTGTGGGTGATTTTGGTTTCTTTACATACATCATCTGCTTAGTTGCTTCTGACACATCTCTTCTTATATTCCCATAACTGTGACAATAATTGTTACTAATAAGTTTTCATCTTCATTGGCCTTTTGGGCATCTGACCCTAGAAATGCCCCCAAAATCTCTCTGTATTGCTTGCAGGAGAGAATAACCATCTTGCTAGCTAGAATAACTGGATCTCTTGAGCTTTTTTCCCCCTAAGACCTTCCATTTACCCGAGATTCTATTGTATATTGTTAATCATACCCAAATTAAATACTCCACCTGTAAATGAAGGAGCTTTGCAGAGTTTAATTTCTTGGCACACAACTTTGGGATCAAGATCATGAACTAGAAGCTTGATGATGGCATCACCATACTCTTCTACAAATCCGATGCAATCGTCCTGAAGTGTCCCTGGGAGGTGGGCACATACGAAGTCTACAACCTCGATGATTTCATTCTACGGAAAAGAAAAATTACAACCTCTTGATAATTGTGAGTAATACAATCACTATTTCACTAATTTTCATGTCAAATTTTTTCGATTTTTGTTTTCTCGTTTCAGAAAGTGAAACACTGATTTACTTAATATAAAATGCTACTTAAACTACATAAATCTATCATAAGGAATAGGAGTTTATGAACTTAAGGATTCTAGGTACAAAGGGCAGAAAATAAAATGGCAGGGCAGTGATGTGATCAAGGAACACCTAGAAGATAAAGGATATCATTTAAACATTCTTTATTTGAGAGTAAGAAGCTTTTACAACTGCAGTGTCAATATAATTAAAGGGCTAAATAATCTACCTAGTAACCTAACTAGTCTCTCCTATAGATCTCATCATTCAACTTTTGTTTTATTCCTAACCATAAAAAAGACTAATCCAAAAGTTCCTTGAGTTTTATGCAGTATTTCAATAGAACAACACTTACTTCACATCTTCCACATACTAACATATAGGAAGGAATCTTTTTCTTACTGAAAACTTTTATTGTCTAAATTTTTCCTATCTAAAGATATATCAATATCTGATACAAAAGGAGCTGTAATAAAATGCAATATTACATCACAAATACAATCAAGCAATACTCAAGACATATTTTGTTCACCCAGCAATGCGCAATTTTTTGTTATACTAACTACAGAATAAGTACATCTGTAACTTACTCTGCCGTGGTTATGCTGTAAAAAATATAAGAAAATTTTTAATTAATTATAAAGGGAAATAACTAATACTGTATATAAATGCAAATAACGTAAGAAACCAGTCAACTCAGTGGTGGTCAGCAATGGGTAACACACACATTCTATGTTATGATTTGCATTAGAATGTTTAAACACTCCTAAAAGAATCAAACCAATAACATCAAAATCAGAAAGTTTTAGAAGAATAACTGGAGGCATTATGTTCATAAGCTTTGATGCCTCTCTGGATGGATTAGCAACGTTTCAAATCACCAAGGTATTCGTGGCACTTCCACAAATAGTGATCTGAATTGATTGTTTATCAGACCACAGCTTACAGCCCAGAGAAATAAAACACATATAACAGTAAGTAGATGCCCACGTGGTAGCCCACATAAGTTGATACACACTACAGAGACAGTAAGACCTGACCCAGGAGAGGTCACGGACAAGGTATCCGAGTTAACCCGGCGTTATGACCGTGTTACTCAAGAAGCTACCCCTCAGCCAGCACACTTGTCACCTGCCCAGACACACCCAGATTAGTGACGACACCTTCCAGCTGGAGATCGTCAATATATAAATAGGGCCGGCAGCTCCCTTCAAAAACATTAGCATTCGGATCATCATTGTAACAGGGAAGGAGCCGACAGCTCCTCCCCAGCACCGAGTCTCCAGCTAGCAGAGTCTCCCACAGGAGACATAGTCCAGCACTCTCTTCAACAGCACATGCTGGGCCTCCCTCAGGTCACACGTGAGTCTTTGTCAGAGCGATCCAAGGACGAGTTATTTACAGAGGGAAGTGTATCCATTTCATGTTTGTGTCCGAGAGTCAGTGTCTAGTAACTTCGATATATTGATCTATTACTGTGTCCATGCCATTCAGTTAATTAATAAATAGTTGTATTGAAAGTGGTGTTTAGAAGATTTCCCCTACGAATACAATACCAAGTTGAAAGTAATGAATCGGCCACGCTACCAAACTTCCTCTCTTTACAATCCTACAACTAAATAACTTCTACCTTTACTTTCTACTCAAGATCCCCCTCATTACAGATCACACAAATATTAAAGCGCTTACTGTATGAAAATAACTTCCTGATGAACATTGAAATTACAGAACAATGCAAAATACAAACCTCTGTAACATTGTCTTCCAGAATCTGGTCCAGTTGTAACATAGCAAATTCACAAAGTACACAGGCAGCAGACTGGAACATCTCTGGTTTCTCCACGTCATTACTTTCTGCATCTGAAAAGTATATGAACATACAGTACTGACTCGCAAACAATCATTCACAATGCAGCAGACTGGACAAAGGAGGCAATTTTTCACTCTTGCAAGCCTTTTCCTGCAATAATAATGCAAAGTGGCTGGAATCAAGAACAAACGTCTATTATTAACTCTCCTTCATTCACTTTCTTCATTAATTTATTTTTGCTGTGAGATGTGTGATCTGCTATGGTATTCACCTTCCATAATAAAGCCCCAGATATCAATCTAGTTTACTCCCGTCTCTTCACACATAAAGCACAATATCATTTGTAGGTATATGCACTAGTAGTCTAAAAGCCATGAGTTGGCAATAGCAATCAAAACTGGGCCTCAGATTTGGGTAGGAAAATCTTAAATTTCAAAGGGAATCAAAGATGTATGCATGACTTTAATTGGATTATTCATGCTTAAATATTTTCCTTCGTGGTTTTTATTTTTCTCAATTATTCACTTAATGTCGAAAATGCTATCATTCTTTAGGTTATAAAATTAATGCAGTTATTACCCATGTAATGTAGTACAGTACTGTAATTGTAATCACTATTCATTACTGATGGTATTGCAAACATTGTTTGCTTAAACTTTAATGCATAGATTGCAATATATTATTACGCATTTAATATAGTAACTACAATCAGCATCCATTAATGTAGAGACTGTAATCATTATTTAATTAATGTTGTGTATTTGTGCAATTCTGGTATGGTCCACCTGTAATGAAACACTACTGCTGAGTTCTTCCCAGTGGATATACAGCAAGAGTAATCTTTGAAGCAGTAGCTGTATTTGAATAGAAGTAATTTTTCTGAAACTATAAATACAGGAACTCCCCAAACTTACCTCTAGAGTGAGAGGCCACAAACATGCGAGAAACTGGAAGCTGGTGAGAACTATTCAGTCTGGGCAGTTCTGCAAATAAAAGTTTCTTGTACAGTATAAGACTAGTTTTTTTTATGATAGTTGCTACGGTATGTAAGAATATACCTAGATAAGATCTCTCTTACTCACTGCAGGGGCAACATGTTGACAGGAGCCTGTGAGGGCACTCATAATCAACAGCAGTCAATAAGTCCATTACACATCCATATATAAATTGCATAAAATACCAATAACAATCATCTAAACATTAGTAACTCATACTTTTATTTATTAATCGTCTTTGAAATTTTATTCCGTGCAATATTGGCTCTGGTAAAACACTCCCAAAAGTTCATAGTCATTACACAACCCTAAAAATTTACAGAAAATTTATTCACTCTTCCATTCTTGTTCCCCACCATCAGTAGAGCAATTGACAATGACATTGTGTCCATCCTTTTATCCCTGTACTGTATATGTCCAGCCAATATTCAACCATTAAACATTATGAATACAGTGATATCTCCGTTAGTTGGAACAATTGCTGCAGAGCATTTCCGGTAATGAGAGATTTCCGGGTAACGAGACGACTCTCTCAAAGCCGGAAAAAAAATCCCCCATCCCCGGAATTTTCTGTGTACCGTAATGGAAAAATTTTCTCCGAAGTTCCAGAAATTGCCCATAACATCATCTCTCGAACCCAGAAAAAATCCCGTATCCCCGGAATTTTCCAGGTAATGTTAAATTTTGCTCGGAATTTCCAGAAAATATGCTTGATTTTCATCTCCCAAACCCGGAAAAACACTCCCCATCCCTGGAATTTCCCGAGTACCGGGAAATTTTTCTCAGAATTTCCGGACAATTCTGAGAAAATTTCAATTCCAGCTATCAGAGAGTTCCGGGTTTGAGGGATTCTGGCTAATGGAGATATTACTGTACAGTACTGTGACTCAACACAAGGTGAGGATATGAGCAAGTAAGTGTGGATATTTATACCTATTGTTTTGGGCCTGATCTGTTGTTTTCTACACTTGAATAATATTGCATCTGTTACTTTTCCCTGTGCCTTGAGGTTTCTGTACCATTGATCCACACCCAGTCTATAGAGGATTAAAATTAATATAATAGACCAACAGACGGATGGATGGATAGAACTTGAACCTCAAAATTGACATATTTATTAAAGGTTTCCTGGTGATTTTTAACCCTCTTCAATCTTGTACTGGTTGTGAGTGTTCACAGCAACCTTACTGTGATTATTTTTAATGTTAGCTTGACTCAGAATTTTTTCTTACGTAAGTTCATCCAGGGTAACCGAGGTAAAGCAATATATTAGAGAAGTGATACACATCACTGACCTTTGGGTTTACAGAGTCCAAGCTGAATGCACACTTGATCTGGAGTTAGATCATCAATCAACATTTGGATGATCTGTTCTGAGTATGTATCAACAAATGTCTTGCAATCCACAGTAACAGATTTGGGCAGCATACCACACAGCTTGTCAAGGGCATTACGGATGTTTTCCTGAAAAACAAAGTAAATAAACACCTGATATCGTTACTTAATTAAAATGAGCTTCAACTATTATATACTAAAATGTGAATTTTACATAAGGTAGATGACCCTAAGCATTATCTGTTCCATATACTGTACTCAGCATATCTCATGTGTGAGACTAACAATTAAAGTCTTTTCCCAATTTTGTAAAGAGGTTCCTTACCCTAAATGAATCCCAAAACATCCATCACATCTGTGATTTAAGAGTACCTATATAACTTACCAAGTTAAGAATTAGAATGATCAAATTTCACAAAATTCTCGTACATTAAAACCCCCATAACTCAGCATCCGATAAGTACTGTACTAATAATTTCCTGTTATACCACAAGGAGTTACATCCAGGGATTACTGTATATCTTGGTTAAAATAATGAGAAGCATACAAAACAGTTTTTATCACAAACCAATGTTGTTTATTTAATGAGGAAAAAAGCAGGAATCCCAAACTTTCATATTCTATAATGCTTTCTACCTTTATGAAATAAAAACACAAAGTATGATAAGCAAAATGTTCTTATTAAAACTATTCAAACAGGAATCATCCTGCCTTAGACCAAAGATATTTCAAACAAACTGTTTTGAACTGATGGAAGACGTATGACAGGAAATATACATTGTGGCAGAGAGTTCCAGACAGCTTGTCCAAGGTATAAATCACTTTTGGTCAGCAGAGGATAGTCAAAAATGGAATTCCAATAAAAACTATAATGACTAATAACTTGAGCAATGATCAAATTTAATATACCCTGAAAAAAAAAGTTGATCATGTTTAAAAGATATTTCTCCATGCATAGCCATTTGTTTGATATAAGCTGCACTTATCCCAGAAATTACAGCAAAGTACTCCACACAGACAAATTTAGTTTCTTACCTCTGTCTTATCATCTTTCAAAAATTCCTCCAACGTTGTCATAGCATACTCGCACATAACACAGGATACGTCCTCACCCTGGGATGATGCTACTTGGGTTTCTGTAACTGCCGGGCACAGGTGGAGCATGGGGCAAATCTGACAAGGAAAAAACATAGGTTTTTAAAATCAATCCAAATGTGCATTTAAACTGCTAAATTAATTAGTTAAAATTTCCAAGTCCACTTCTTAAAGGGGCATGATGATACAAAAGTTAATCAAATATTAAAACAAAAACTGATTATATTATGAATTTGTGTAATTATTATGCGAGATAACACTAAATACATAAAAGTAATTTTCAATGCTTCCTCACCTGTGAGGGATCAATCTCCTGGGCAAGCAGCTCAATGACCTGGTCCCCATAAGCCTCAACATAGTCATCACACTCTTCAGCAATAGTACGAGGCATCATGTCACAAAGCTTCTCTACTGCTTCTTCAATGTCTTCCTGTATGTATGATTTTATTTAATAATTGTATACGATTTTTATTTGTTCCTAATGCATCTCTGGTATCTATTAGCATTACCATAATGTGAATAATATTGCAACTAAAAACAAAAAACAAAGCTATTGACATTAATTATATTATTCCTACTAAACACTTTTGAACTTGAACCAGAATTAACCTACTTTTACAATTTGCTGCATAAAATTAAATAATAAAACAATTGACCATAAGAACATGCTTAAACTAATCTCTAAAACAACAGTTCTCTCTTCTTCCATTGATGCTTTTCTTATCATAATGCAATTAACTAATACAGTAGTACAGTAATAATAAAAAAAATAATATAAGTAACGATAAAAATATAAAAACATCAATGCTATTACAGTTTGTCAATAAGATTACAGTACAGTATACAGATAGTCCCCGACTTACGACCTACTCTACTTACGTCCACCCGCACTTACGACCTGCCTGAGTCGTACCAAAATTTGGTCAAATTATGTATTTTTGAGTTCCAAAGTCAGTACACAGACAAAATTTTCATCTGTAATTCACTTTAAAATGGCTGGCAAGCTTATGGTTAAAGCATTTTCTATTTGTTATTTAAGCATTTCCAACTTACGACCATTTCGACTTACGACCTGGATGTCGGTCCCTAACCCCGTCGTAAGTCGGGGAGTACCTGTAGAGACCAGCAAAGCCAGGACCCCAAGACAGCTACATAATGAATCGTCTGCCACCAAAATGTGCAAAGGCCAAGTGTATGCAAAAATATTAATAAATAAATAAATAAAATAAATAATAAATAAAATTAATAATAAATGAATAAATAAAAACATTAAAAAGGAACCATCATGCATTCAATGATAATCAATTTGTGCACAGTATTTTGTTTATTTCTCTGATACTTTTGTTAAGAGTAAATCAATGAGCACAGAAACCTAAAAGAAAGAGCAGAAATAGCAGGGGTGAATAGCAACTGCCAAAAAATGAGCAGAAATACCAAATAAAATAACTAGCAACACTCCACAAAATGACTTTGCAATATCTGATGAGCTACATGTTCTACTCAAATCCTAGTACACATACTGTACCATTCACCCAATCCTAACTTTTACCTTTATTTCATATAGTTTCATCAGCCTTTACTTGGCATATTTTCTCATTTGAGGTGAAATATGGATACCAATAGATTCCCCTAACTTTTTAATTACCAGGCAATCCTCATACCTTCAGTCACTGCAGAGCTAACACAACTACAGGTGAGAGGTACTGCCAAAGTAATGTCGAGTACATCTGACTGAGAAGAGTGGATGGATACAAAGGAAGACTGAAGGTAAGGTGAAAGTACAGTACTATATAAAGTGAAGACGATTATGTGCCAGGGTAAATGGAATGATAACTTAGCAAATATACACGGTTCCAATTTTAGCAGTTGGGAAAGTCATAAGAGAGATGGATTAAAATCATCAAAAGTAGAATGGAAACAACCATATTGTTGTTTTTATTAAGGACTTACAGAAACACTTTGTCACTTGCCTCAAATGCCTTGCCATTGTCTACCTGATAATACTTACACGGGTGTCCTTCTGTTCGAGCATGTTCTGGAGGAAGTGAAGAGCAAATTCACACATGACGCACTTGTTATCCCCTACGCGACCCTTGCCGAGGGCAGCACCAACCATGCCGTTTGTACCAACAGGCGAGACATCTGTATTTTCGATGGGATAAACAAAAGAAAACAATGACAAGAAACTGAAGAATCTACTCATTCCTCTGGCATACTAAATTGGTTCCACACTCAATCTTTAATTTTATCAGAATGCATTTAGATAAACCCTTAAACTTTCCTCAATAATTACATTAACATTTTATCCATCCAAGGACCCTGACCCTACTTTAATTTCAATTTCTCAAACTTCCTTAATCTATCAAAACTCCCCCACAAATCTGTTATTCTTCACTTGCCTCTAGTACAATTTCTATTAATGCACTAATGGAAATCAAGGACTTTAAAGCTGAATTAATAAGAGGAAACACTGGTCTGCCCTGGACCAGCCAAACACTGTCTATTGCTTCCAATTTTTTTAAAGGAAATTCTCTCTCAAATTATTTTTTACCTACTCAATGTAAATTTAATAAAATGCCAATGCTTATATAGCAATGAGCAACAGTTCACAATACCATACAGAAAATAATAATAATTACCAATGCCTGCCTTTGTGAGCTTCACAAGTGGCAAATGTGAGTCTTGCTCAAAGTTGATAGCAGCAGCTTCATCACCACCAATCAGTCGATAACCTGGCTCAGCATTAACACTGACAGCAGGTGCCAGAAGAGTCTGGGGCATCACATTTGCTTGCCCAACATCGAACAAGGGCCATACAGCATGCTGCCAATGAGGAACCATACTGTGTGTTTAATTGCCCTGTTTTCTACAGTATCTAAAGGCAAGATGATAAAAATTTAATTTTAATAAGAAAGCCTAATTCTCCCCCCCCTCCCCCCAGACTAAGACAACAGTGCATAGTAGTGAATACTGTAATATGAAATGAAGATTTATTCCATACTTAGTTTAGTCTTCTTTCTCTATAACCCAATAGATATTGAACAAGTTTCACTCCCTTTCATACAAGATAAATCATCACAATAATACTCTTAGACCAGTAATTACTTAACTGGGAAGGCTCCCTCTATGCGAGAGAAAAGTTTTATGATGTGGGATGGTCTTCCACTAAATATCTTTGATGACAATACAGCAGAACCTCTCTAGGTCCTACCAACTGTTCAGCAAACATGTGGATTTTGGAAACTACTTTAGTCACTTATCATATGGGTGCAATGCAACCTTTGGACTGTAAATCCAAAATATCAAGATATATGCAATACAGTACAGAAAAACATCATCCACAGAGGTTATGTTCATGGAAAACATCACAGATGAAAATCATCATGATGGCGAATTTACAAATGGCAAAGCAAATGCCCGATTGGAAAAAGGAAGTTAGGTTACTCATTGACAAGATAATCCCCCTAACTTACCCCATACTTTAATCTACACTAAACATAACCTCAAATGTTAAAACATAGACAAATTTTCTTGACTGACAAGAATAAGCACATTACACAATGAATCATCTAGAATCTGTCACAAAGTCTGAACACCTCTAAAGTACAAATTCAAAATTCCCACCACAAGCACAATGTCAGTCTTCAAAAGTTCTTCTGTGGGGTAGTGCAGTAAATTTTAACAAATGAAGTTCTATCACACCCACCAACACTTCCAATCTCATCACTTTACAATATTTGTAAAGTATCCATTTACAATATTTGTACAGTAAATACTTCCTCATGCTCATGCTTGGTTTTCAAAAATACAAACCTCTACTGCAAACACTGAGGTGGCACCACAAAGCCCAATAGCCTCACAAATTTGTTTAGGGTGAATTTCAGACACCAAGAGATTGTACAGTGGGAGATAATACTCTTCCACAAGCGACAGGCAATTCTTGCTGAACCTGCCAGTTTGACGACACAGCCCTTCCAAAATCTGTAAGAAGATGAATACTTATTAACTGATTAAGAAACATTCATGTATATGACAGCTTGGTTGATTAAGTAGTTTAGAGAGACCTGATCTCCTAATTTTATACCATGTTCTCTGATTTTAACCTCTCATTTTTAGTGGTATTTTGAGTACCATGACTCACCCATATATCTCTTTGCTTCTCTCTTAATTTTCAATGAGATGAATAAAGGGGTACAGAAACTTACAAGATGATAAAGTGATGGTAGAGTGGTGCAAGACAAGTGTTGACAGGAACAGTAAAGATAACAGGAAGAGCCACATACAAACTTTGTATATACTGTATGTATTGTATTACGTATTCACATTGAGGATATTAGTCATTGTATCGCATATCCGGTTGGTATGATTTTGATTGCTGATTTGGAACTTGCTCTTTCAGTAAGTACAGTGGGAGTCCTTAGACACTCTTAGTAGCTTAAGAAAATTTACTTTTCATAATATTTCTGATACAAAATACTGTACAGGTATATCTCACCTCTTTGAATTCTTGTTCAGTGGTGTTTGCAATCAAATAATCCCGCCAGTGCTGCACTATTGCCTCACAGAAATCACACGCTTCATCACCACTATGCTTCAGAGCAGGTCTCTGGTAGAAGTCACTTTGGTGCATTCTCTGCTCACACATTTCTGGATGAAAAAGATAAGATATTATCTGGAGTTATTATCATGAGAAATTAATTCCTTGCTTTCCACAAACAAAATGTTCTGTAAACACTAAGTAGGGTACAGTAGAAACTTTGAAACCTAGCAATCAATTACAGTACTATTTTGCCACATTTGATTATCGAGAAATTCAATCATGATCAGATGTCTGACAAGGAATACAGGAATTTAAATTCACCAAACACTGGGTTTCCACAGCACCGATGAGAAACGGAAATACATATTATATAGTATGTGCTTACTTTAACCCTTAAGCCCTGGGTTAGGGTGCTGCTGGCAGTAATATAATTCCAATGTGAATGTTTAAGACCTCAATTTATTTATTTTATTTTATTTTAACAGAGATTAGCCCACCAAGATACAGGTCACCGACCTACATCAGGGCCTGGGAGGCGTAAAAAAAAGAAAATGAACCAAACGTAAATACAGAAACGGAAAAATTTAAATATATCAAGAGTGAGAAACGATATATATTTTATGTCAAAGAAAAAGCAACAATTGTGTGTAAATGAGGCAGAAAGTCCGATAAGCAACCTGGGAACTTTGTCACAATTTTTGTGAGGACATATAGCAGCAGGGTCTACCATTAGACAACACATTATGCTTCAAATATCTTGCCAAGCGGTAGTACCTCTGTTTGATAACTGCCTAATACCTACTAAATTACTGATGTTTATTTTCTTTTATTATGTACTTCAACAAGCTTACACAACTGAGCAACAATTACTCACACGTCACACACCGCACAGCATAATACAACAAAGGCGAACCTCTACATACGATGGTTCTGTACAAATTAATAAATATTCAAATATTTACAATACAGTAATTCTAAAAAAAAAAAGTCAACTGAAAACATTCTTACCAACTAGGTCACAGAAATCATCTGGGGTGAGCTGCTCACTGAGGAAATCATAGATGGTATCAAGATTGCCTTCTACCAGGGCCATGCAGGCATCAGAGATGGAGCCAAGCTTGCCACATACGGCAAATAGTCGATCCATCAGCTAAAGATTGAGAGAAAAGATAAATAATTTCCTTTACAGATTCTAGTATCATGAAATATGATAAATCCCTACAAAACCTAATACTGTACTGTATACTAATGCTTTGTTTAAAGTCATAATCAAACAAAGGAAAATCGTCTTAATAAATGAAGCATGTGCATCTCGCCATTTAAAATCCACAAGATGGTAAAGTAATTACGGACATGAGTGTGATGAATTAACAAACACTTTGCTAATAACCCTTGGGTTTTCATTAAGATTGAGGAAGCCAAATTGGATTCATAACAGGTATGGTTGGTATCTGGGGGCAAAATAATACCGTATACCAAACATTTATTGTAAATATCCAACCAAGCCTGTTGTTATCCATCTAAAATCCATATTCTGTAGAACTAAAATTCTTCCATTTACTCCTCATTCTTCCTTCCTTTGTTGTCTTAATTCCACTCACTTCATTTTTTCTTTAATATCCTGACACATTTATGCGCCTTTGCTTCATGCGTGTGACGACTGTTTCATTTATCCGATATGGATATAAGTGGACAGTGTCTCTAAAAACATACATAAAATACAGTTTTAATGCTGGGTCTTCAACACTTTCAATATACTGATACAATTTGCAGCCAAGTCATCTGGAAAGCTCTACAGATGTATCTTCTTACGATATAGGAATTCAGTCATGATATCAAGATGAAAAATGGAAGGAAAATTTGATGAGGTATTGTGTAATACCATGGGAGCAGTTTCTACAGCCACTTCATACTCTACACTGATTGCCTACATACTGCTGTGATAAGGAAGAGGCCCTAATAAAGTATATTTATGAAAATAATATTGACCGTAACATACTGTATAGGAGGACAATGTAAACCTGTATGATGATTTTAATAAATGAATGAATAAACATCTATATCTACCAGCACCTGACTTAATATGAACTAAAGCTAAAGATGATTTGCTGCTTAGTTTTCTGTCTTACCTCAGAACGAGAATGAGTCTTCACTAAGCGGATGGTGCGAGTAATGAAGTCTTTGCAAGCTTCACAATCGCCGGGCTGTGGGTCCTGCACACTTCCATTGGTTACAACTGGGCGCAACGGCACAATTTCATTGGATATGTCTGGATGACTCGCCTGCCAGTACAGCAAGTGGGACATGAATAGTAGGTCATGATAATATTATAATTAACAATAAAAGTAGAGAGAGAGATAATTGTACAAAAAAAAATGAACATCAACATGCAGTACTGAACATAACAATCTTGCACATTTCTTACTTCTTGTTCCCAATTGCAGTCCAATTTTTCAGTCTATCTACTAATGCCAATCAACATCACCCCCCTCACTAAAATAGTTCCTTTGCTATTTTTTATTTCTTTACTCTGGACTTTGAGGTCATTAATCCCTTTTGCACAATGATTAACTTAACATGTGGTTATACTCATAATGCCCTTCAATTAAGTACATAATGAGTATTATTGAGCAGGTTGGTATTAAAAGAACAAAATATTAGTTCTTGTACAATAATGTCTTTCAAGTGATTCACTGATAAAGAGGAAAATAATTAGATCATAATTTAGTTTATTGTGTGTTAAATAATACACTGTACCCATTTTGATCAGATTATGGAGTCATTGAAGTAGTAGGCAGCTATCAAACAGGGAGGTACTACCGCCTGGGAAGATATTGGAAGCATCATGTGTTGTCTAATGGTAGACCCTGCTGCTATATGGCATCACAAAAATTGTGACCAAGTCCCAGGTTACTGATTTGACTTTTTGCCTCATTTACACACAATTGCAGGTCTCAATTGCTTTTCTTACTTGACAACACAACATAACATAGTTTCTCACTATTGATTTTTTTCATTTTTGTATTTCTTTATAGTTCTTTATTATTATTATTATTGTTATCATCATTATTTTATTTTACTTATTATAAATTTTAATTTCTAGAAAAAATTATAAAATTTTTGCCCCCCAGGCCCCGATGTGGGTCAGTGACCTGTGCCCAGGTTGGCTAATCCTCGTAATAAAAAAGAAAAAAAAGATGAAAATGACAAGAATTGCCGAAATCACTGCTTATTCCCACCCATGTCTACACTCCCATTTCCACAGCATTTTGACAAGTAACCTTCCAAATCCTCTAGGCATGCAAGCGTCTATCAATTTACAAGGTCAATCTCAAAATTCATCTCATTATTTTACTCAGCTCCTTTACTGCAAATTACAGTTATTTCACTCTACCTGGTATTGCTGCAGCAACCTGTCAACCCTGATTGAGTTGCAAAGGCCAGCAGTAGCACATACAACTTGAGGATTCATCTCTGAGGCCAAAGTATCAATCAGCTCAGGAATGAAGTCATTTGCCAGATGGACACACTCATCTGACACCACCTTGATTGGTATCAGGCGGCAAGCTCCATCAAGCACTTCTCGAATTTCCTCCTGTGTGTAGACAAAACAAAAATATTAATATAAAATGAAGTAACCAATGACAAATATGATAGTACAGGGAAACATTGGCAGACAACCTTAAAGCACATCCAAAACCATGAAGAAAATAAAAGAAAGCACAGGAAGCCAAAAAAGGCAGGGCTTGTTGTTACCTACACTTAGAAGTCATCTCTTAACTAAGTAGCTTGTGACAATCCTACAGACTGATGCAATACACACTGTATGAAATAAAAATAACTTTTAGGCAACTTCACAAAAGTTGATTCTCTAGCTATGAAATCTGCTTAGCTTAAAAGCAAACAATGTACAGTAAGCACTATTTCTGTAAGTCACCATAAATATGAAAACAGTGTTACACAAGATATGTCCTCCACCAGTGTCTACTAATTGTTTAATTTTCCTCATAACAGAGGACAAACAACTACTATGCAGCACTTTTTTAACCCCCTGTGTACAGGCTCCTCTCTGTGCTGAGTAAAATTGTCTGGTTTTAACTAAATAAAATATTAAAAGTGGCATCCCCATGGTGAAGGGGTCAATACCTCCCTCCAGTTTAACAAGTAGGAGACTAATTATGGAATTAGATTGTTCTGCACAGTGCACAGCTTTTAACTTAAAAGTGATAAGTGAATTATGAAAGATGTACTTAGGTATACTGTATACAGTATTTGTATCATTTCATAACTTTTTAGCTTCTTAGCGGCCAGTTGGTCTGTTCTTTTTAACTTTGATGACCTTTATTAGCCAGTGTCAGTACAGGAGGAAACCGGAGTACCCAGAAAAAACTGTGATGTTTGGTAGGTACACTGGATAACACCCTTTTCACATCTGTCCCAGGATGGTAATTGAGTCCAGGACAATAGGGAGATGTGTGCATTGCTTCTGTACCACATTTATAAAATGAACTGTTAAAATAAATGGGTTCAATCACAAATGTCTGGTGTCTACCCAGGTCCCCCAGTTGAAATTGCCTAGGATGATTTATTCCCCAATCATGGATCATTGGGAAAGATGCCATAACTCCACCTAAATTTGATGGAATAGAATCATCTTGGCATTTGCATATCACTATCCACATGCAGTATATAAATTTTGCCATGTTTTGAGAAAATGACACGAACTAATTTTACAAACTTATGACAACACATGGAAAGACACGATTAGATAAAGACATATTTGGTACTCCTACACACAAACACATCAATTGCTATATAGTATCCCCCTAACCAGGATTGGGTAATAAAAGTGGAGACAACCATTCCTTTCAAAGTAAAGTTGATCAATGATCCACTCACAATACTGTACAGTACTGTACTACTGTATACTCTTTATAAAAATAATTGCTAAGAGTCTAAACTGAGAATCAAACTGATTTCACAAATAAAATTTAAAAAGTTTGATACCATTTCAGACATTATTACTGTACAGTACCTGTGTTTCTTGGCTGAGAAGCTGGTCTCTTGCCTCTTTAACCATGTTCTTACAGATGGTACATATGTCATCATTGTCTTCAGGCAGAGTCTGCTTCTCCCACACTGTCTGGATGCAGTGTGTAACAGCATTACATTCCTTTGCATTGCTGAAATTATAAATTATCAGCCTCAATTTATTGCAAAGGTGAATAGTAAAAAAGGTTTAAATAGCTTTTCTTTTTTCTTTTATTTTTATTATTTCTTACAGAAACTTATCACTTACCAACGTATTTCACTACCTGAAAAACGGAAACTTACAAACATAACTTGATAATTAAAGGGAGGAAACCCTAGGGCTAGAAGTTTGAAGCAGTGCTTTAAAAATAGTTTGCTATTTAAAATGATCCATCTGATCAGTGCAACCTGCCACGAGAACATGTCATATCCATAGCCATTGCAGAAATTGGCTGGGGATGTTTCAGTGAAAGCATTGCACAGGTCCCCATCTAATGACCTGTAGGCTATAAATATATTGTAGTTACATATCTGACTAAGGGAAAAAATTTCATATTACTGAAAAAAGTGGAAAACTTACTAGAGTGAGTCACACCAGTAAGCAGGACCGTAAGTACATTTCTTAGTTCCTACCAGTGAACCTTCTCCTGACAGCACACAAACTGCGAAGGAAAAAAATTAACAATAAAAAAAAATTAACAATAAGATAAGACGACTCTGGACACCTACAAAATAAACCTATCTTTTCTCTTGACAAACACATACACTACAGTCTACAGTACAGGTTTTTATAATATTTTCACACAGGAAATAAGAAACTTAATGAGTCATCTCTAGTAAATACATACAGAGTGCTATTGCGAGTCCACATTTGGTTACAATCCTTTACAGTATCGGTTCAGAACTAATATATACTATACATGAATACCAACATCACCCCCATTTTCCAGAGACTTTCCATGGTTGTTTAGCCATAATTACCTGATGGCAGTTCTCCAAATAGCTTAGTCTCTTGCAGCCTCTCTCATCAGGTTCTTATATCTCTGAAGCAATGCTCTCATCCGTACTCTCCCACATGCCCAAACCATCTCAGTCTACCTCTTTACAAAGACTCACCAATACTCTCATTAGCACAGTTCGTCATTCACTGATTTTACTATAATCAGATTCAAGACGGCGTGGTAACAGTGCAGCAGCAATACGGCAATGCCGGAACAGAGGACAAACATCTCGATAGAAATATATAGTTCATATGCTGACAGCGGTTATATTTTAGTGTACAGTACTGTATTTTGTTCTACATCTTTTAATGAGTAAGATGCTAATTGTAGCTCACAACTGTGTGACGTCAATCACAAACAGTGCTATACCCAACCACCAGCTTAGTTCTGGATATGGTTTCCTATCTTTCAACAACACATGGCAATAGTTTACAACAGCACGTTATTATGAAGCAATTTAGGAAAAAACATTTAAAGAAGAAATCTTGTTTCTTAACTATCAAAATCAATAAAATTTAGAGGAATTGCAACTTTCCAAAAGTTGTTTTTCTATACAGTACAGTAGTAGCTATTTCGGTTAATATTCATCCATTGGCTGTCCGCAGGTTCGCGCTATGTTTACCCGAGGTTATACTCCTCACTTTAGAGTCCGTTATCTTCTCCTTACCTCCTCCTCCTCCTCCTTGTAGGTTAGGTTAGGTTAGGTTGGTTCCCTTGGTATGAGAATCGTTTTTTTTTTTGTGTGTGTGTGTGTGTGTGTGTTTTGCTCAAATTTGACCTCCATTTTTTTTCTTCAAATTAGCAGTTTCTGTTAAAATGAAAAAGTTAATGTTTTACAAAAATCACTAATTTGCAAAAGAAATGAAGGTCAGATGTGAGTAAATCTCACCAAAGAGCGTAAAAAAAATACTATTGTCGAACCAAATCCTGAGGACAGCCAATGGACGAATATTTACCACTATTTCTTAAGAGAAAGTTCTGCAGAGAAGTCGTTGCTGCCGCAATGTTTTATTTTATGGTGAAGCAGTTGATGTGCTTGCTAGTGAAGAAATCTTACTATTAAGCAACCTTCCCAGGGAACTTTTCTAATGAACAGTTAGTAAGAAAACCACACCATAAACAACTTATATTACCTAAAATAATGCATTCTCATCCTATGATAGATATGTTAGGTTAGGTCAGGACTGGTTTGTTCGTTGGCCTCATCTTCAATAAATCTTTGGTGGTAGATGGTTATTCATGGGTACGAGGAGACTCTCTTCAGGTATTGCAGCGCTATGCCAGACAAAATCGGCAAACTAATACAGCAATATGAAAACTGGCATAAAACCTCATTAACTGCAGGTTTTGTACTGCATATATCTATTAATTTAAAAAAATATATAACTATAATGTACAATAATGTTCAAAAGTTTGTTGCTGGTTTTACACATGTAAAGAATGGAAGCATTATTGTCTCCAAGATGTTTGTCTTTTAACACCTGCATAGCAGCACATTCACAAAGGTTTTTCTTCATGATAAAAAGCTAAGAAAATCAAAAGTAAGAAAATTGCCATTTGTCCAAACTGTTGTCGATATTCATAAGAAACAAATTTTCTTCAATAATTCTTTTACCAAAGTGGCTCATAAGTAACATGTGATGTTATAAATTATCATCCATCACATTATACATCCATCTCACCATTGGCATTTCTATGTCATCCTCTTTACCTGCCCATGTTTCTATGCCATACAATATCACTCCTCCCCGGTGCTGGACAACTCATACTCAAGCAAATCGTACCCATCAAAACATGTCAAGTCGTACCCAATTACAAGATAACTTATACCCAATTTACGAGACAGTTCGTACCCATATACTGTATATACAGTACAGTGCTGTATATATAAAGCATGGACAAATTTCTGACAGCATGACAATGAAGGAGATCACACAACACCTCACCACCACAAAGATACTTTGCTATTCTAAAAACACTATTAAATAGCACATCTAAAGCACTATTAAATAGCACATCTAAAGCACTATTAAATTTTAACAGCTTTAGATACAAATGTGCAGCAGAAAACCACACAGGGGAATAATACAACAGGGGTAATACAAAACTATGAAAGCACATAGCTAAAATTGCCAAATCCCCAAACAATCTATGGCTTGTGAATAATCACCAATTCCTGTAAAGCTCTTGCTACTAAAATCACTAATAAAAAATCAACTATGATTTAAGGTCAACATTGAAAATCCATCAATCTAAGATTTGTATAATTCACACGAGCATCACAATCACCAGACTGGTTTTAATACTGATTTGTTTACAAAAAACTGGAGCTGGAAAATAAATGTTTTTATGCATGTCTAGACTCCTCTATGTCTATATTTTGTTGACTTATGACTATCTTAAATGTTTACATCGCCCAGTTTATAAATTGGAACTGCCAAATCTATTAGCCCAAAATCTGTAAATTGCAATAAAGTTAATCTACACTACAGAGTGTGAAATATGTACTTCAAGTGCAATGTTTGTGTGATGGAATAAGATACTTATGTAATGAGATGCAACCATTTTAAAGCAGTGCATTACATTTCACTGCACTTTCCTACAAGATTAACATAATCTTTTTTGTAATTATAGATGAAGCTAAAATTTTATATAACTCCTCCAAACTGTGTTAAATTCTGTTTTTTTTAAATAAGGGGGCTCCCTTGTCTGAGGGGGCCCAGGGCACTTGCCCCGTGCCCCTCCCTTAATCCGGCCCTGAATAGTTCATAATAAGCTATAATAACACTGTGACAGCAGCTACCTATGCATGGTATATTTACTAATAGGTATGGATTATCTCTTGAATTGGGTGCAAGTAATCTTGCGTACGAGTTATCTTACGAGTTAGGTACGAGTTAACTTTGAATCCGATTTATCTTGGGTATGAGTTGTCTTGGGTACAAGCTGACCCTAACACACTCTTCCCCATGGTGGTTCATATACTTTTCGTTTCAAGCAAAGTCTCACCATCAATAGAGATAAGTTTCCTAAACTTCTTCCAGCCACCCTTGCAACTGTACTGGCTTCAGCACCACCTCCAGCACTGATCATGTTATCCAGGTAGCAGAACTCATTGGCAGTCCATTACCTGCACATACAGTGCACTTAGTCAGCATCATCCTGCAGTCTGCCATTACACCTCTAGTGCATCTAAAATACAACAGATGCAATTCCTCCACCTGATTTGGTTTTTCTTGAGGTCTGCAGTTATTTTTTTTCTCTCTAGAGATTTTTTGTGAGGTTGCTGGTCAACCCAGACCACTATCAAAGTGTTACTAAAGTGATAAAACTAAAGTTTCTTAAGGTTTCCTACTGTGCTGGTTAACCAGGACCCAAGACTCTTCAAAAAGTTTCCTGAAGTTGCTGGTTAAACAGGACCAGTTCAAGAGCATTATTATTGGTTCTTATTGAATACATAGTGTTGTATACTAGTAGCACAGGCCCTTCCAAAAATTTTACTATTCTTTTATCACTGGCTTTGGGCAAAAATATCCACTGCAAAACATAAAACACCAAGCTTCCGAGTGTCCTTACTGGAGCTTTATAGCAACCAACGTGATAACCCATTTCCATGACATAAAATATAGTTATCTTTTTATCAGTTGCATTGAGATCAACGTTAAGAAGTGTGGTGTGGGCCAACAACCTTTACCTTTCGGTGCAGTACATCCCAAAGTCTGACCATTGCTACTCAGCACAGGAGGGGGGGGGGTCCATGTAAGCTATTGTCATTTGATATAAAGCAACTAGCAAATGTCTAAACTTGTATTTAAATTTAATCTTACCTGCTACCACAGTTATGAAAACCAACAGTCCTCGCATGGTGGTGATGTGTGAATGACGCAGCAGCCACAAAGCTAAGTACGACCACAGACCCACTTGTCATGTGATGTTTACACTAACACCAGCCAACTTCACCCGGCTGTTGTTGTTGCCACACCTGCGCACACACCTGCGCTCATCCCTCTACCGCCAAGTTTGAAGATTTTCACAGCCTGTGCATAAAATTAAGCAATTTCTCATTCTTAAAAACATCAACAAATGCTTTCCTATATATTGTGTTGGTATGATTTATAAGGATTTGGTTGGTTTCGTTGGCAACCACCACTAGCTCTGAGTCAGTCTGAACCATCAGGGGAAGTGCTCCAGGGCTACGGATTTTGTTGTTTCAGCTTATTCATAATTACACAGTATATTATACTGTTGACATATCACGTGATCATTGGATATTGTAAGCTTGCTTTTCATATAATGTAATCTGTAGAAACTAATAACATTGTCAGTGCCTATAACACTGGCCGTTTAAAGATTAGTTTGGAATAGCATGCGCCGCAAAGAATCGTTGTGTAACACTGCAGTTGCATAATCAGTATATTTAATCTCCCATAATGTATTTGTCAGGTCAGTCTTAAGTTTAGTTAACTATAATTTATGAATGATTGATGTTATCATGAAAGTTCATAGCAAGTACTTAACAAAGTTGTTTATGTAATATAATTTGTTTCGGTAGTTCATTAAGGAAATTGCAATATTATGACTGACAAAACGTAAAATGCAAACCTCTAAACATTATTCACATGTGTCAAGATTGAGTCATACATCTTGGAGAAGTAACCTTTTAGTTTAACAAATTTATTGACAAAGTTTGGAGTACAGTTTGCCGATAGGGGGCGCCGGTGGGTAGAACGGCACCGCTCTTGCCTCGCAAGCCAGATGTCCCGGGTTCGATTACCAGGCCGGTGGAAAGTTGTTCGGACACACACACACTTCCCAGCCTCCTTTGGTCCCTGTTCACCTAGCAGCAAAGTAGGTACCTGCTGTAAATCGAAAGTTGCGAATTCGTATTCAGGGACAAGTTGTTGGAGCTTCCAATAACTTACTTAGGCATAAACCATTTGACTCTTCAGGCTTCTACGACCTTAACTCATGAGACATAAAGGCAAGCATGAACTTAGCATGCTTCCTGTTGGGCGCTGTAAACGCTTCTGCGCTTCACCTTACACAAGGATGTAGGGGAGTGCCCCCCCTCCAAAAAAAAGTTTGCCGATTAGATGACAAGAATTTCCGTCGCTCGATACTGTATCATTGATTGATCTTTAACAGCCAGGGCATAGGGCATTATGAGAGGTTACAGGGTGGTGTGGTGTGTTATGACGGGTGGTGTGGTGTGTTGTCATGAGAGGCTACAGGATGGTGAGTCACACAACTAGTACTACTGAACACCACGTGAGTTAAGGACCCTGGCCGTACTCTTGGCCACTCCTTTGTCTACTACTGTACTCTACTGTAAACTTGGATCGACGTCGTCCACACGTTTGTGTCATATACAGTATAATTAGTGCCATCTCTGTTCATTTTATATAATCAGCCTCTGGCTGTTGTGTTCTTTCAGTAAACCGTTATGCTTCTTCATGTTATTATTATTATTATTAGATTATATTATTATTATTATTATTATTAGATTATATTATTGTTATTATTATTATTATTATTATTATTATTAGATTATATTATTATTATTATTATTATTATTATTATTATTATTATTATTATTATTATTATTATTATTACACACAGGCAAGAACGCCACTTACAAGTTCCACAACCATTCCCAGCGACAAAATTGGATCCAAGATAATTATATACTGTAACTAACCGACCCATTGTTGGCGACTACTGAAAAGCATGATAAATAGGTGCAAAAATAATATTGATATTTAAGCAGATATTCCATGTCCGGATATCCCCTGCCCCCACGAGCAATAAGGAGCGCCAGGCTGTTTGTTGCCAGGCGGAGAGGCCTGGCTGAGCGGCGCGCTTCACGTTCACTTCTTGATTTGTTGTTTACAACGCGTCAACACAGTCACACACACTCATTCAGCAGGTCAGTGGTCTATACTCACCACTCAAGATCCCTGTGTTTGTGTTTAGCTGTAGGTAAGAAAGTTGTATACACAATACGCATCATGATCTACTGTACCTGCAAAAGGTAATGTTTCGTAATATTTATGCAAATTAATCAACGGATAAAAGAATGTTGTTTGATGAGCGTAATGTTCACAAAAAGGGACAGTATACCTACTGCACGGATTAAGTCATTGTTTTTTTCAGGTGACGCTGTACACTCTTATATCATGTAGTAGACGAGTTTCTCTTACTCGAGGCTTAAAATAAATTATGAATTAGCCAGCTGCAACAAAGGATGTTCCGTGTCAACTATTATTTCGAAAACAAAATAAATATATGGTTTATTGAATGAGAATTCTTTTAAGAATGATACCGTTATCTAATTCTAAAGTATAATTATTTTTTGGTTTTCAAATTAAACTTTGTGTTGACAAATGTGTATTCCATTAAAACTGTAATACAGGCAGTTAATTTTGTTTGTTTTATCCAGCCCTTAGTTTTTAACAGTGAGGGGTAACCATCTCAAAAAATGAAGAAAAAAATGTTAAGGAAACCAAAATGTGGTTCAAAATTATAAAACTCAAAGAGAGGGCAAACAGAATTCCACCTTATCCGATTTGACACTAGGATCTGAGCACTGACATTTCAAAGAATACTCGGCACTGAAAAGGTTAAGAAACATGTAACGAGGATTATGTGTACTGCCGCATTTTCAGTGATCTTATAGAGTGGGTTTAATTTAGGTGACGATTGCCAACAGCACAAATTCTCCTAAGATTATTCAGGAAATACATATGATCATCATCAGATGTTACTGGACAATAGATTAAAGACTAACTGAAAATATGAATGACGGACACGTGCAAATCATCTCGACAAGGATTATAATACGAGGCAGCCTGGTCATCCATCGTATCCTCAGTTCCACTTCAGGCGTCTCTACAATCACCCAGCTGCCTGGATGGGCTGATGTACAAGTACTGTACTTGTACTGGTATAACCAGAATTGGGATTTCCGGGGAGAGTAAGCATATGACTAATAATAACATGGGCACGTCAGACTCATGACCGGATGGAAAATTACTCAATGTAAACTTAATAGAGTGTTTCCTGCAGTCCACTCTTTGTCATACATAAAGGTTACCGAGACGTTTCAAAATGACTAAGCTACTCAGTATAGAATTTTGCTATCTAGTTTATCTTACGTTGCTTCTGTATATAAAAGGTATGGTGTATCATACAATATGGAATTTCTGATCCAAATTATTGCTGAGCGCGTGTGTGTGTGTGTGTGAGAAAAACAGTAAAAATATGGGGAAATAAATAAACAATAGACAACGAGAGGCATCTACCTCAATGAAATAGATTGAATTCTTCCAGTGCAATAGAGCCAGGAATATTATAATGAACATGGAGATACATAGCTATAGATAGATCCTTTTTGGATCAGTTTGCTCCCAATGCTCCATGCCTATCAATTCAGGTCATGCAAACATAAGTGTTCTAAATTAACAGAATACAGTGTACAGTATTAAGCTAATTTAACAACAGTTTATTAAGCTAACAGGACGACAATGAATTAAGCTAACAGGGTGACTGTATTAAGTTAACAGGACTATCGCGTACTAAGCTAACAAGACAACAGTGTACTAATCTAGCAGGACAACAATGTCTTGGTGGAGATGGTTTACTTAGGGATCAGAATGAAAGTTTACCCAGTGAACAAGACACGAAACAACAAACACGCAAAGAGGACAATAATATTATTCAGTCAACAAACCTGACGCAATTTACTCATTAGGAAGAAGGAAGCAGAACTTATGAAAAAATCGATCTGGTAATCACGCCTTTTGTGAAGAAATGTTTGATAATAAATGAGCTTCGTAAACATCATACATGGGAGCGAAGACAATCAGAGGATACAAGCGGAAAAAAAGTAAAATATATATCTCGATCTCAATGAAATGAATCAACCTGAAGCATTTAATTAGTGAGCAGATAATAAATAAATGCAGTGACAATGAAATAGCTTGGTGTGGTAATTAGTACAAGTGGTGGTTTAAAACTTTCCTTTTTACACAGGTTAGGCTATAATAAAAAACAGGCACGTTTGCTCTTCACGGGAAAGAACCAACTCAACTTCATCAAGACACGCTAACATGTGGAATTCACCAAGGCCACGGAAGTCACTATAATCAAGCGGGGGGTGAAGCCTATCTGCCGTCATGACTGTCACTAGGAGTTTTGAGTGTATATGTTGGCCTTAATGTAGCAAAAAGATGGTTAGACAAGGAAGATGAGGATTAATCTATTTATATGGTAGTTAAATTTGGACTCTGCTGCCTCCTCGAGTACCGAAGGTTTAATATAATATACAGTGTACCGTACCTTCAGCATATGAGGTCCATAATTGAGCTGCAAGATGTATTTGCTTTGGTTGTGGCCTTTGCAGCTCACCAAGGACAAGTGCATTCATTCAGAGTGTATGGCCGGGGAGGGGGGGGGGGAACAGGTCGTCAGTAATCCTTAAATGAAGATCTGCTCATGGGCACAAACAATACTTATTTTATGGACCACTGTACTCTATATTTACTACACACTAGGCTTACTTAACATTACTTTACGTGGTACTTACTGTACTGATGATGAGATGTAGAGCAAGAGAGCCGTTTGCTCTGAAAAAGGAAGACGGTGTAGAAGAAAGGTAAAGTTAAGAAGTGGGAGATTCGAGAGTAATTAACACGATTCTCACTTGGCACTAGCTTCCTGTGCATGACATGTATTACTCGGCATTTTATACAATACTGACTTTACCCAGTGCCTGTTTTATGACTTTACACGACATTTTCCTTACACTGTACTGATATTGCTCCATACCGACTCTGGGTCAGCTGTAGGAGGGTGAGGAGGTATGGAAGTAGGCTTGATGCGTGGTGCGCTGATTATCCTTGATAGTATTGAGGATCTTGGGAGATTGGTGTGAGCGTCCCGGACACGCTGTTGCTGCCCCAGTGCTCGTCTCGGCCAGCACCAC